CAAAATAATGCTAATTATTTTAGTAGGTGACATAGATGAAAACATGCCCATGGATAGGAAGTATTTCCGCTTAAAACGGTCCAGTGATTAGAGCTTACAGAGGGAAAGTTGGCAACTGTTAGCTCTGAATAATATACTGGTTATTTAGTCCTTTTGTGACTCCAAAAAGACTAGGTTAACTGCTTCTCTTGGGTATTCCCATAGCATTCTATATTCCTGCTGACAAATCACAGTATTTATTTTACTTGATTATAACTTTGCGTTGCTTGTTTTGTCTATTTGTAAAAGCAAGAACAATGTCTATTTGCTCACCATTACTTTTCCAGCATAGATTTACTTAATGAGTGAATAAACCCTGTTAGGGAAGTAGGGATTACCAGTTTGAACACAGACATGAAGCTCAGAAAAATGAAGAAACTTGCATAATACAACATCACTATAAAGTAGAGTAGTGAACATTTGAATCTAAATTTTCTATCAGCTAGTCTAGTGTTTGTTCTAGTGCTGATAATTCAAAACTATGATGTACCACTGATATAAAGGAAACATATTTTATATATTTCTGCACATTACAGACTGTATAGGTCTAATCTGAAAGGGAGAAGACAATTACTATGGGTTTTGTCCTACACTGATATGTACTACATTATAAATAACAATCGAGATGTAATAAAATTTTCAAAATCAACTTGTATTTCCAATTTTGTACTGGATATCGCAGTCCTAGTATGGTGCTGTGGTTAATGTGATGGACTACAAAGTTGGTCTAAACAACAAGGTAGGTGGGGTTCAAACTCAACCAGCCACTCCTTGGAAACTCTACATAGGGTCTTTATGGGTTGGAACCGACTTGACAGCACTTAACAACAACAACAAAATCACTCCTTAAACGTCTGACACATACACAGATAGAGTACATTAAAAATCAAAATGCATTACCTCTCCATTCTTTTACCCTTAAGACCTGCTGCTTCTCTTTTATTTCTAATATCATTATCTACTTAGTTTTTCATAATAGAAACCTGAAAATCAATTCTGATTTCTCTATCCCACATTTCTATTCCGTGAAAATTAAAATAAGCAATTCACTTAAAACAGTGCTAAGTACTGAAATGTACTGCCCTGAGATTTCAGTCAGTAGGCAAAGGCAAAACAAAGAAAAGCAACCATAAGAACAAAATAAAGAAAAACAAACTTTTCAATATTTAAAACGAAAAAGAACTGATCATTTGAAATTGGATTTTTGAGGTAACTGAATTACACCATTTGTGTGCTAATTAAAATTTCCAACTAGAGTATTTTTGACTCATGACAATTGCATTAAAAAATGTAATTATTGCTGAATATAACTCTTCAAAACCTCCACCCAGCACAAAACTTCATGTCTGGACAACAACCTGTTCATTTGGGTCACTATGAGTCAGAACTGACTCGTTGGCACTTAACAACAACAATTTGTTTGTTTACTAAATAAACATTAAGCTCCATGAAAGCAAAGAATGTATCTGTCACCCACATGGGCAATCAATTAAGCAGCTCTATAATTTATAAATGACTTTATTATTATGAAGATTAAATTCTCTAAAAATATTAAAGCTAGTTTATTTTATTATGCTAGTATTTTAATTCAGCATTAAGGATATGATAAAAAGTATATAAAAGGAATAGAATATTATTTCTACATTTTAAAAACACGTGTTTTATTTAAATGTGTTGCAGTAAATTATTTAATATATCTCTTTTAGTCTTAGTCTTTGTAACTCCTACTAAGTGGCTCTTATCCTGATGGGTCCATAAGAAAAGGTGGGAGAAGATACTGATAGGATGATTTGATCCAACTGTGGGTGTTAATAGACTTAATTGTAACTATAAAAATTTGGAACTCTAATATGGGTATAAAATGAGTCATTTCGGAAGCAGGAGTGGAGATCTCACTACCATCAAAGATAGAGAGTCAGGAGTGGAGGATGTCCTTTGGTTCCAAGATCCCTGTGATTTGAACCTCCTTGAGTCACGGATAGAAAGCTGTGACACCAGAGAAGTGGCAGAGCAGCAGCAGCAGCAGAACCAAGAGCCAGAGCACAAGACACAGAGGTGGGCTTTCCCACCCAGGTAGCAAGTAAAGTGGAATGACTTTGGGTAGAAGGTTTGCTTGCAGAGTGAGGTGTCTCCAGGCACTTTGGGGGAACTACATTTGTTGACCCACAGAGCTAGAGTAAGTAGAGTGCCTTCAGGCTGAGGCTTATTGTGGAGTAGCACACTTATCAGCAGCTCTGGTAGCCTACTGGTTACAATTTGGGCTGCGAACCACAAAATCAGCAGTGTGAAACTACCAGCTGTTTCGTGGGAGAAAGATGAGGCTTTCTGCTCCCATAAAGATTTACAGCCTCAGAAACCCTGTACAGGCTCACTATGAGTCAGGACCGACTCCACGGCACACAACAACCACACCAGCAGCCCTAAAAGACCTTTGTAATATTGGCAGGGCAGAGAGAGGCCTACTTGTGGGTGTGGCTTAGAAGTCCTGGCTGAATAACTGTGTCCTGAGTATTATTGATCCTGTTAATTTCCCTAATAAACCCCATAGCTGTGAGTATCATGTCTGAGTTCTGTGTGGCCATTGCATTGAATTATTGAACCTAGTTGAGTAGTGATGGGTGGTTTGGTGCCATTTTTTTTCAAAATGGATTTAAAGTTTGAACATCTAAGTGTAACTAGGGAAAAATTAGTATTAGCTACTTGCTATCCTAAAAGGATAGCTCTGGTAGCGTAGTGGTTACGAATTGGGCTGCTAACCTGAAGCTCGGCAGTTAGACACTATCAGCGGTACCGCAGGAGAAAGATGAGGCTTTCTGTGCCCGTAAAGATTTACAGCCTCGGAAACCCTGTGCAGGGTCACTATGAGTCGGAACCGACTCCAGGGTACTTAACAACAACAACATCCTAAAAGGAGCTCTGGTAGTGTAGTGGTTATGAATCGGGTTGCTGATCTGAAGGTCAGCAGTTCAAAACTACCAGCGGTTCTGCTGGAGAAAGATGAGTCATTCTGTTCCCATAAAGATTTACAGCCTCGGAAACTATGCAGGGTCGTTGTGAGTCGAACCAACTCACCACTACCACCACCACTTGTTATCCTAAAGTTTTACAATAAGAAAACTGATTTATAAGTATTTTAGGATTCTACTTTTGTGAATTTAAAAGTATTTATTGATTTTTTAAAATTGCATTTAATATCATTTTTGTAATTAAAATGTAATTGAAAAAATAAAAAAAAAACGCTTACAGACTAAGATGTGTAACTGAATATAGCTTACTTATTTTTACAATATATTTATATTCACAATATATTATTTTTTTTCCACAATATATTATTAAAGAAAAAAATACTATGTCTTGGGTAGGTTCTGAATTTTCAAGATTTAGGTTATTTTAGATTTGTTGAATGACTAAGAATCTTATAGAAGACCTACCTTTAGTTTTAATTATTTCTCATACTTTTGAAACTACAGTTGGAATCAATGCAAATGATAATTGTTTAATTTTAAAAAAATATGGATGGAATTTTTAAAATTCTGGTCTTCAGAATTTCTTTTTTGCATCCATATGAAATACAGCTGATAGACATATGTTTTATATCTAGGATGCTCTTACAGATTTAGTTCATTTTAGATTTAGGAGCTCTTTTTTTAAAACTATAAAATTAATGTCAGTTAATTTTGACACAAGTCTAAAACAAAGATACACTCTGAAGACTTTGCTGAGAATGTTGTATTGTAGAATGAAGAACACATCAAGAACATTTAAGATTATTTCTAATCAAATCCAATTACAACAAACATAAGGTGAATGGAAGAGTTAGAATTGAGAACAGCTGTATTAAGTCCTTAAATATGATGACACAGAAAAAGTCACAATTAGAAGATTAATTGTCAAATTCCTAGAAAAAATTTAGTGTGTAGACTGATATCTAACAGCACAGCTTATTAAGAAGGAATGTTACAATTAATCATTTGATACCAATATTAGATCTATCACATAGGTAATTTGAAAGCACAAATTAATTAACTTAACCAGGGGTAAAATCTCAAGAAAAAGCAGTCATAGCTAGAAGTAAGTTTCTAGTTAATTTATCATAAAATCAAAGATGTGAGGTGGTTACGTGTTTAATCCTTTCCTCACAACATAAATGATTCTATACTTGGGACACGTTATAAAAATAAAGATTGCGAACCACTTCCCCCTCAAAGGTTGGCATTAAAACTTTCTATCAGTTTAGGGTTGTTTCCAAATATTAGGCAGCTTGATTATGTTTGAAAATTCCAACATTCCAAGTTGAATATGTTTGAAAAATTTGGAATGATACTAGAGCAGGGAGCTACCCCAGTCTGGAGAACTTAAATAAATCACTTTGGTGGCAGTATTTTATTTTGCTAATCCTGTTGTGTATTGGCCCAAAATATGTAACATCTTCTATCTAAACAAAGAACTTCACATCTATACCGAGGACTATGCTAAAAAATAAAAAGTCTACAAAGAAACAGGAGCTACAGAAAGTGATAGTCTACTGTGACACTGAAGTACCATATTGCATGAAATCTCTATTGCCCTACTACTGGTCTAATAATGACAATCTGTGAAACAATGGATGGTAACTATGTTATATTCCAATTGTAATTTTTCACAGTACTAGTTTGCATGCAATCCAACCTTGATAAGCCAGGGGAAATACTGGTTTGTTTTCCCAGCATTACATAGTTGAGCAAGAGTAAGGTGCCAAGGAACTGTACTTACTTTTGGTGTTGGGCAGGAAGCTGTAGAGAGGCGAGATGTAGCCTGAGCACGAGGCGATTCGGAAGGAGTAGTGCTGAGGGAAGCTGTGTCTCGTGGGAGCACCTGAACACCACGAGAAATTATGGAGTCTGGAATCTGAACAAGCACAACAAATAGTTTAGTATCCTAAAATGTAAACTTAAAAGTCACATTTACTTTTTTAGCATTCTCTGCTGTCACATATTTGGTAAAAATTACTGTTAGGCATAAATACATCCAACTATTTGGGACAGGTTAGAAATTTTTACATTTAAAATATTTCTTCATAGATAAACAGTATCTCATAAAACTTTCTAAATAAGAGGCATCATCACCCTATGGTTAAAAGTGAAGCATTTGGCATTCACATATTGATTTGCCATTTAATAGTTGGAGATTTTGAGTATGTTATTTAAATATGGATTATTTTCCATTTCCCTTTCAGATTCATTCTTCACCCTCCCTGTGAAAAGCTGACTTGTATGGACAACATCAAAAAGCTATCTTTGGCTCTGTGGTTTTTAGTTAGGTTCAGTCAACAGAAGCTATTGGCAAAAGACTGAAAACAGGATGTGTCTGGTCTCTACCAGGTCACCACAGGTTGGCTGCCACTCAGCTTAAGATAACAGCTTCTACTATAGCTTGTTCTCTCACTCACAGCTCTTTGTATGGACTCCAACAACAGCTTTCTCCTCATATCATGAGACACGGGAGCATTAATAAATTCCATCTGATTGTTGCTAATAATCTCAGGGTACTAAGTAATCTCTTGTTGCTTTCCCTAAATTCTTCCCAAACCTTTGTAAATACAAAGTTATTAAATGCTGTCAAGTGGGTTCCAACTCACACTGACCCCTGTATAGGGTTTCCAAAGTGTGGCTGATGGGTTTGAAGCATGACCGTTCAGCTAGCAGTCAAGGGCCATATCCTACAGTGAGTGTCACACCAGGACTAGTGTCAATACTACAATCCCTTATTAAAATGCTCCTCAATTACTTGATTCAAGTGTTATATTTGATTCCTACTGGGATCCTGACTAATCTTTTCTGAATGTCCATTTTAATTATCTGAATCCTGAAAGGTTTAGTTAAGATAATTCATGTATATTATTTAGCATCCCCAAGTAGTAATTAGTAATAACTGTTGGTTGCTGTTGTTAAAGAACTCTGATGGTGCTGTGGGTTAGGCACTGAACTGTTACCTGCAAGGTCAGGGGTTCAAACCTACCAGTCACTCTGAAGGAGAAAGATAAGGCTTTCTTTATAAAGATTTACACTTCAGAAACCCTATGTATGGTTACTATGAATCAGTAATAACAATGCCAGTGGGTTAATTTTTTTGGTACTGCTAATGTTATTGGGGTCCTGGTGTGGCACTATGGGTTAATGCGCCAGATTGCAAAGCCGTTTGAATTGCAAGGTCGGTGGTTCAAACTCACCAGCCGCTCCTTGGAAACCCTATATAGGGTCGCTATGGGTCAGAACCAACTCTATGGCACTTAACAACAACAACAACAAATGTTACTGGAGTCCTAGTGTGGCGCTATGGGTTAATACGTTTGACTGAAAAGTCAGTTTGAACCACAAGGTCGGTGATTCAAGCTCACCAGCCAGTCCTTGAAAACCCTATACAGTGTCGCTATGGGTACAAGATGGCACTTAACAACAACAACAATGTTTTTATTATACCTATCAACATGGTAAAAGTTGATATATTTGAGTAACAGCAGAGAATACCAGAAAAATGTTTACTTGTGCTTTACTAACTATGCAAAGGTTTTTGACTGTGTGGATCATAACAAGCTATCAATAACATTGTGAAGAATGGGCATTCCAGAACACTTAATTGTGCTCAAGAAGAACCTGTACATAGAACAAGAGGAAGCCTTTCCAACAGAACAAAGCAATACTGAATGACTTAAAATCAGAAAAGGTGTGTACCAGGGTTGCATACTTTCACCATATTTATTCAATCTGTATGCTGAGCAAATCATCCAAGAAACTGGATTATATGAAGAACACAGCATCAGGATTGGAGAGAGATACATTAACAATCTGAGATATGCAGATGACACAACCTTACTTGTTAAAAGAGCACTTAAAATACTTACTGGTGAAGATAAAAGATCATAGCCATCAGTATGGAATGAAGCTCTACGTAAAGAAAACAAAATCCTCACCTCTGGACCAATAAATAGCATCATGATAATTGGAAAAAGATTGTAGTTGTCAAAGACTTTGTTTTGCTTGGATCCATATTCAAAACCCATGGAAGCAGCAGTCAAGAAATCAAATGAGGAGGGTGACGCAGCGCTTCCCTGACCAGGCAACCCAGGTAGGGAAGTCTCTGGGGAAAAGGGGCAGAATCGCACATACACAACCTCTGTCTAGCAGACAGACAGCCTTTGAACAAACATAAGGTCTTATATTTCAACAGTCTGAACTCGTTTTTTTTTAAAAGATCAAATTGCTGATGAAGTACAGGCATTTTAAGCTATTGCCTGCCTGCACTCGGCTCCCACTTCTGCGCCCCCACCCGCACCGGCAAGTGCCTCTGCCCCCTGCAGACACTGGAATGCAGGGCTAGAGCAACCTAACTTAGGAGGCTGTATTTCCAGAGAAAAGGATAACAAAGCTGAACAAATAGAGAGGGATATCGGTGCGGATATCAGGAAAATTGGGATACCCACAGTGCAGAGAGACTGAGAGATGTATTCTTTACATCACCAATACGGACACTGCCTCTCTCCAGCCATTACCCCAGCCCTCTACAACCCCAGCCTAGACCAGCCCTCTGTCAAGCCACCTAGGCTTAGGAACGCCCAAGGCACAAGCCCGCCCAATGAGGCCAAGGCCTTCCCAAGGCCCAGATACTCCCACTGAGGCCAAGGCCTGCCCTGAGGCCCAACCTGCCCACAGACTGGTCACAAAGGCCCAGGCCCAACCAAGGCCTAAATCACATACCCACTGCAGCAGAGGTCCAGGGCCTCCAAGGCCAACCTGCCACGCAGCCAGGTTGCTGAGGCCCAGTGCCCCTGAGACCCAACCCGCCCACCCTAGGCCCAAACCACCCACCCGAGGCCCAACCCTCCTTCAGCCTGGTCGCTGACGTCCAGGCCTCCAGAGGCCCAAACCTCCCGCCCGAGGCCCAACCCTCCTGCAGCCCGGTCTCTGACGTCCAGGCCCCCAGAGGCCCAGCCCGCCAGCCTGAGGCCCAAACCACCCACCCGAGGCCCAACCCTCCTGCAGCCCGGTCGCTAACGTCCAGGCCCCCAGAGGCCCAAACCGCCCGCCCGAGCCCAACCCTCAACAGCCCAGTCGCTGACACCCAGGGCCCCAGACGCCCAAACTACCCGCCCTAAGCTCAACCCGCCTGCTCAAGGCCCAAACGGCCTGCCGCGGAGGCCCAGGCACAACTGAGGCTCAAAAAAGTTACTCTGAGTTAAGCAATAAGAAGCGTGAAAAGGGAAGACCACATCCTGATCACATAGTCCTGGAGGTAATCAGAAAACATAAAAAATTACCAAAATACTTAATTAATTATTATGGTCACAGATAAACATTAAACATGCACAAGAAGCAAAAACAGATGACCATATCGGCACATGTCCAGAAAAAAGATAAAATATCTGAGACAAATGAACCAGAAGTAGACCTTCTCTCCATGCTGGAATCAGGGCAGGCCTTGGAGATATCTGAGAAAGAATTCAGAAAAATGATTATAAAATGT